AATGTCAATGCTTTAGAACCACTAACATCCTTCTTTACTATTTTGGATGAAGATTCAAAACGTGCATCACTAGAACTAATGGCACTAGATGGATCTACCACTGCCATTGAGGTGCTAGGATCAGAAATTTCAGTATGCCTGAGACTCTCTCTTTTAAGCAAAGGAGAAAGCATTGTGTGAGCTAATGTCTGTATATTGCCTCTTGTAATTACATCATGACGTGATATGAAAGAGACAAGAGGCACTCCATATGGTTTCCATCGTGAAGTGGCTTGAGCACCAGCAGAATCCCTATACAGCAAGTAAGAAAATAAAAAATCAAATTAGAAGAATACCAATACATGGGAAAAACTCTTAGAATTAAAAAAATAATAATAATAATAATAAAACTACTACTAGTATAAAGAGGTTCAAGAATTTCTAGCAGGAAATTATGTGCCATGCTGACCAGAAAAGCAAGACACTTTATACATTCCTCAAATGAATTTAATGTAAAGTTCTAGCAAGTTAAACATACTGTTCTTGGCGGTGGTGTACCAACTGGAGATAAACTGCATTCTTCACGGACTTTGGAACCTTTAAGGCAGCAAGGCGGTCATCATCTTTGATTGTGGATAATGATATTAAAGGGTCTTCTAAAAATCTTTGTATCGAATGGTTTCGTATCTATAGGCAGCATGGAAATAATTCAACCAAATCATATATTTGTGCATGTATCAATTAACATGTAACAAAACGTATAATGCTACAAACCTCTGCAAGCTTAAGCTCCTCACTTTGCTTCAAAGAACAAACGTTGCTTAGCACTTGGATCAAATCCCTGCAACGTCCCTGCTTTGGGACAGTAATAGTGAAAGTAGATGGCAGTGCACTTCCATCACAAGTGAAAACTGTTATTGTCATAGAACGGGTAATAGTAGCTTGGAGTGGCAAGGAAAGGTACATGAAAGGATCAAATGTGACTGAAACTTTATTACATACAGGGCAAACCAAAGTTGACTTGTATTGACCCTGTCAAACAAATTACAGTAACATAAACACAGAATGAATTGAGAAATTTAAAATGGTGGTAGACAGGAAAATAAATCAGAATAATAATAATAACACAAACATCATTAAAAGAGCAGCAACAATGCAATTTTTGTACGAAGACATCTAAAAGAGAATTCTGCCATAAGATACTACAAACATATTTTTATGCTACCACAGTGAGCAATCTGGAAAAATCAAGAATTGAAGTATATTTGCTTGAATAAAAACAGTAGCAGGATTATCTAAAAAGGATCTGGGTTTATCATTTTATCCAAGTGGACAATCAGAAAATAGTTTCCAATAGAAAACCCGAGAAAAGAATTTAAAAAAATATTCATCATGAGTAAGCATTCATAAGAAAGAGGAAAAATAATAATAAAAGAAGAAGAAAGATGCATACTTAAAATATAATCTAACTACAGACATTTGCTCACTTGAAGCTTCACAAAAGACCAGAGCAATGTTCATGAGCTCTCTACCCATGCCAGTATGACTCAGGAGAATATTAACCATGAAAATATAATATTTTCTTGAAAAATAGTCTAGTCTTAAAAACTTTAAAAGTTTTGAAAATTTGAGGATCAAAGATAATACATAATAATTAATGGTTAGAGCAAAATACATTGTAGACAATGTTTTTAATAAAAATAGATGATTGTGCACAAAGAATTATGACTTGCATGCCACCTATATCCTCCCATGTCCAACACTCATACAGACAATTCTAGGAGAACAAAATTTCATTTTCTTAAGAACCATTTTTAAGGTGATACATGAATTTGGTTACGAAACTTGCACAAGTTTGCAGGCTTGATAGCAATGCACTTTCCATTATACAAGCAAGTAAAACATTTTCATAGTTCAACACATATGCTTAAAGTTATACATGCGCACCAGCACATGTTTAGGATTCACAAAGTGGTTCCATCCAACACCTCATCCCAATGTTGAACTATGTGTGTAAATCTATCATGTATGGGTCACAATAGCTCACAAAATCAAAACATACAACCCAGGAATTACCATAAAAAAATTTAAAAAAAAATCCAGAAATAAGCAACATCAGCTGATACTAGACATCCTTGATCAAATCACTACAGCCTTCCAATTGTGAATAAATACAGAGAAAAGGCACATCTCAGAACTCAGGTAATCATTACTGTCCTATGCATAGCACAATAACCACTAAAATAAAAGAGAAGATACTGCTTAACTTTTCAATGGTCATTAAATATGTTAGACATCTTTTTGTCAAAAAGTAAGATGCCAATCAACCATATCCAACCTCTTAATATTAACATATCATCAATACAATACTCACTTGGCAAACATCAACGATTATAGAATCATTGCGTGCAATGTGATTTGCCCAATATTCATCAGCAACTTCTTCATCCGGTCGACCATCTGCATCTCTGGACCTTATATATGGTTTGTGTTTGACACGGTTCAGATCTTCATGAAGACCGTCTAACAGAAATGCTAAAAGCTCCTGAAATAATCATAAACTATTTTGATGATGAACTGTATGGAATCCAAGGAAGCAGCAAGAATTTTCTGTTCAGTAATAAACCTGAGAATCATGCTGATTATATCCACTAAATTGAGGTGCAAAACGAGCCAACTTTGTTTTAAATGGCCGAGGAGCAACTGGTGTCCGTCCTGGTGCCCATAGCTTTCGAAGTAACTCACCAAATGCTACAGCTAGTTCACCCTAAATAAGGACCACTTCAAATCAAACATGAAAACAATAGACTCATTTAAAGAAACATTAAAAAGGATGCATAAAATTTGCTTGAAAAATACATTTCAACAACAAAACGATTTATACATATCAGGAAACCATCAAAGCCAAATAACCTTTAAGTCTCAAGGCTGTCTAGGAAGGTCCACTGAAATAGTCCAATGCTATAACCAAGAAATAAACTAAAATCTACAAAATAGTTCAGAATCGAGCACCATACAAAAACTTAACTGTCTATGTCCACCAATATTAGCTGTAACTTTCTACTTCTATTATCTGTAATGTATCCACATTGGTTTATGATAGGTATGCTTACTTATGTTAGCTAAGCATTTCCATGTAGCCACTTAAATGTTCAAGATCTTTTTTTGATTTTGGAGGTTGCTATCAGGATAAACCTGTTTGTGATTCTCTGTTACATTTGCTAGTCTTCTAGGAGGTCTAAACATGAGAGAGAGTGGTAGAGTATCCAGTACTTGATATAGCTACTTATAAAACTTGGGTTTCTGCATCTAATAGCTTAACCCAGTCACGATTTCTTAACACAGTATGAAGCTAAATCTGCCTTCATGTTTGTTAGGTCACCCCATTTATTACTTCATTTCTGCACCATGAAATAGGTCTTGCTAACACAGACAAAAAAAGAAGACCAGGAACAGACACGTTAAACCAAAGGTAAAATATTTTTAAATCCTTTTAACCTTAAGCTTACCCACTAGCCAAATTCACACCTAAGATCTTTGTCTGGGAAACATGTGATTTCAATGGCCATTCTTCAACCACAATTGACTAATAGCACAACCAGCAGATTCAAAGAAACAACCCACCACCAAAAATGATTTGATTCAAGTCAAACAATAAAATGAAGTTGGCAAAAACAAGCAATAGACAGGAGCACAATGACATCAATAATGACAGCACAGATATATCAATCTAATGAAAAAAAACTCCGCTCAAACACTATTATGCAATGCTAAATGTTCCACTCCTGCAAGACACTTTGGCATTAAGCAGAAAATGAAATCACGATATAAGATAAGTTTGAAAATAGTCTTTCAACTACCAAATACTTGCTCTGACACAGAGATTTGGAAGGTTATGAAACTATGCATAAAAAATAATGGTTTATTGCTTCAATATTACAGTCTTCGAAACTTACAACCATGCCCAATGGGTTTTGCCAATTTATCTCCCGACGATAATCTTCCCGAAAGTATCTTGCAAACTCTGGTGTATGAACAAGGCACTGTATTGCACTATTCATAAAGCAAGTATTCCCAAGGTTCAGCAACCCAGTAAGACCAGCAGAAGCTCCCCTTGTGCTGACGCCACTGACCCCATATGTATTTTCCAACTCTCTAGCAGAAGTCAGGTTCGCACTTTGTGATATCTCTGTACCATGGCTTCTGGAAGCACCTTTGCTCGCAGACCAACCTCCTGCAATCGATAAGCTTGACTTAGAAGGCTCTACAAGAACAGAAGTAGCTTTCTTCTCTGCAAATCCATTTTCCTGAATAGAACTCATGCAACCAACCAATGCAGTACCATTAACATTGTTGAGGACCTCCACCAGAATCTGCTTTAAACGATTACAGAAAAGGAAAAAAAAAAAAAAAAAAGAAGTTATGTTAGAATATGAAATAACTTCGGGGAATAATCACTAAATCAGAAAAAACACAAATTAAAAGAAAATTAAATAAATAAACATGCCAAATCCAGCAACAAGATGAGACTATATCTATATCATCGTGTAAACTCTGCAATATTTGTTGACAGTCATTCTTTCTATTTTCTTATCACTTTTTCTGTGCAAATTACTGTGACTTCACATCAATATTTGATCAATGAGTCAACAATTAACTTCAGCCATAATACAAGATAATACAAGTTTTGGTATAGGTCATATGTTAATACCAATTACATACACATACACAAAGTAAAATACATCATACAAACTTTCCGCATCTAGAAACAGAAAAAGTATTGGCATAGTTGTGAGTGTTCAAAGATCAAAGTACATTGAAGCAACCCTATCTTCTTTGCTTTTGTTATGTTATTTAGTCCATTTGGATCAAAGGTTTCTCACTGGTTGTCAGACAGACCACTGTTCAGAATGTTATTAACTTTTAGGCTAAAAATGCATGAGTCAAACCAATAATAATAGTGCAGCCAGCAAGATAATTTGACAATATACTAGATTCATGTGGGGAGCTGAATTACATATCATTTGTTAGGATCCATATCTGTAGCAAGGTCAATCATAGTGGTACTTGATGTAAAAAATGGGCAAAAGAATATAAACTAAGAGATACAGCTATCATACAAAATGAATAATTTAACATACCATCTGTTTGTAATGATAGAATCCTTACAATGGGAAACACATAACATATTTGTGACCTTGTAAATAAGAGGGTAAGTCAGGCAAGAATCTAGTACATAAGGGTTTCAATGGTTTTATAGCTCTAAAAATTTATAGAGACTATGTTACACCTTAAAAACAAGATTTCATTCACTTAATGAACCTTGATTTTAGATGTGATGTAATTGATTGAAAAGAAATGCATATTTTGTTAAATTAAAAAAAATGCACCTAGGGATGAAAAAGGCCAAATTCAAAAATTTGAAACCAGATGCTTTACTGGTTGCTTTGCAACATCATAACAGGCATATTATTCATAAAATGATATATAATCATTGTTGAAGGAACCCACATCCTGATCCATCTGTATGTTGGCATCATCAAGCGTTTTGTCCATGTCATTCATCAAGGCATGTTTCCGATGACCATAGTAATCCCAAATGCGTACCTGTAAAAGAGAAAATTATAATACTAAAAGACCAGACATAAAGGAACTCTCAGGAAAAAGTGTTTAAAACAAGTTCTCCAAAATTCAAAAAAGTGGCTGGCATATATGAATTTTTACTTGTTCTGAGTTAAGATCAAAAATATAGCAGGCTCTTCGATGGAGTTCTCCAATTGTTTCCTGGTCAACATGGTCAATCCTCAGATAAGCAAATTCTTTAAATACTCAGGAAATGAAAATTGAAGCTGAAGTGCTATATCATAACCTACTTGTAAACTATACCTTCTTGCTGATTCTTATGGAAGAGCGGTCCCCTTTTGGCATCAAAAGTAGTTGAAGACGCAGTGGATAAACCTCTACAGTCAACTCCGTCTGAGAGAGACCTGAACTGATTGCTTTCCTCGCCAATGTTGGACCACCTCCATACCTAAACAAAATAGAGACAACCAATGATTCCCTAGTACTTATTTAGAAGAATGATGGGACAATAGAACTGCCTCACAATGATTAAATTATGGATTCCTTCCAACCATATTATGAGATATATACAGAATAAATAAAATAAAAGAAAGGTTGAAAACCAAGCAGTAAATATAACATCATCAAACCAAATCAATCATTTCTTTTTCATAATTTTTCTTCTTTGAAAGAGAACACATAACTGAATATATCGATAAGAAATATACAAAAATGTGACACCAGTAGTCCACCATAAAGAACAAAACAAAAGAGAGAACACACAGAAGAGCATAAACTAAAGACACAACAGAATTTCAATCTCCAAAAATGACGAAGTAAGTATCCTGAAACTTTTTTGAAACTAAAGAAGCATAAAATCGAACTATCTCATAGAAAATCATCCTCATCTTAAATAGCTTCTTCAAAGATTCTTTTATTCCTCTCTAGCCATAAAACCTAAAATGCAGCACATCCACAGAAGGTTGACTTTTTTCATCCCAACAGAAATTATGATAAATTTCAGCCAATAAAGATATGAAAGAGACAGGAACAACCCAATATATCCCTGCTTCTCTAAAAAGTTTACACAATAGTTTCAGCCATTTAGAACAAAGAATAAGATAATCACTACTTCCAAAATCCTTTTTACACGATAAACACCAGTTAGGGGTAAACCAAGTGTTAGTCCACCTCCTTGTCATGACATCATAAGTGTTAATTTTTCCATGAGCCAATGAACAAACATAAAGCTGAACCTACTAGGGACTTTAGGTTTCCAATCATTGAGGCTAGAAGTAAATGAAGATAAGAAAGATCATCAATAAGCCAATTGAAGAAAGATTTCCAGAAAAATCCACCCAAAGACCGAGCTTCCACTCTCTAACATCCTCTTTCAATCTATTTATAGAAGCATTATCAAAAACTGAAAGAATTGAAAATAATTCATCTGTTTCCCTCTCATTCAAATTCATGAACAAATTAAACTTCCAACTGAACACCGATGAAGAAGATAGTAAATCAACCACTCTACTTGAGACAAAATGTACTTCAAATATGTGAAAAAAAATTAACCAAAGTTCTAAAGAGGCTGTGGACTCAATTGGATCAGTATTGTTCCTCAAATATGTACTTTTTTGTCCGTATGTAATGCAAAAGATTTCAACTTAAGATTATATCTACATAGGTTATAGTTCAAATACTATTGTTTTACTGTTTCCTATCAAGTCATGCTTTTGCAATAATTGAGTACTCAACATGTTGCCAAAGCCGTTTGACTAAACTTGTTAGTGTTCTAATTTCCCTGTTCTGTTTATTGCAACACAAGCAAGTTGGGCTTGAGTTAAGATACAAGCATGTATTTGTATGCATTTGAATATTTAGGATAAGTCCATTAATTGAACCTGTCCATGAACAAGAGGGTGCACATAGAGTTTAGACATTTTTATAGTATAAGAGTTATATGCATATGCAAGATTGTCTCCTAAGCAACACATACATATACACATCTAAAATGTTATTACTGGTTCAAGTTCACAAAACAAGAGAATAATACTAGTACAAAATCATGCCATTGGTCCAATAAATGAGCAAGTATAGAATGGAGTGCAAACTTCTGGTGCTTCAAAATAAGATCAAATCCTCCAAAAGAAATTTACTTTTACAACTACTAACATGTAAAGAAAGATAATTGCACTTCAAAAACATGATCAATTTTATATTATCGTCCAGCAAGCATCTTGGACTCATGAAAAATCCAGTTCACAGGAACAAATTCTTACTATACACTTTTGCTGGAAAAGGAAGATATTTTCACAAGATCTTTTGACAACCCATGAAAAACATAAAAAACTACAGTTCTTCTCAGAATGACAGTAGCTATTTTAAGTGACATCCAACCTAACCTGGTACTGACATATATTTACAAAAAAAAAAAAAAAATGAATGTTAAATCCACCAGCAAAGTATCACAAATATACAAGAGTATTTAACACCAAATAGATCAAGAAAATAAGGAAATTGTGGGGCATTTTCAAATCAAGAATCATTGCCATTTCCATATATGATAAAAACTAACCACTAATGAAATCGATTCCAAACTGCTTGTGGAAGCAATACATAATCTCGACCTTCCAGTAGAGTGTCATGAATGTCGTTGCCCGCACTGGAGTCCTCTGAAGCTGCATCATTTATTAAATCAGAATTATCTATACCAGAAGGCCTCTTTAATGTGCTTGAACCAGCCGAATTGCAATGTTCCAACAAAGACAACACATCAGTTGCATTATTTGGCTGATCTTGATTTACATAGTCTATCCAATGTTGCCACCATCTGTAGTTAACCAAGGAAAAACAAATTAAACCAAATATTTCCAAAATGCTACACATTTTAAATTATTGACCTAAAAAAGTCACTTTTATCTCTCCAAGTCACATGATTTAAGCTCAAAAACTAATATGTTTGAGCTTATACACTAATATCCACTTTCTACCGTCAATTTAACTTTTTGGTTCAGCAGTAACTTAACAAGTATAAGAACGAAGTCAACCAAATAGTCTTCTGTTCAAAGCTTTAGGGTTTAGAGATTGCATGACAAAAAAAATAAAAAATAAAATAAAAATTCATGAAAAACTAGAAATTTAACTCAAGCGACAGCAAACTAATTCATATAGCAGACTACAGCTATAGGAGCCAAGGCTAAACTAAGGCATCAAATGCTTGAACGAATAAGCTATTTTTGTTCACTAAATACTACGAAATTCTTCTTCACATAACAAACACTGAAATTAACCATAAAAAATAAGATAAGACAAAAAATGAAAGAAAGGGAGAGATAGAGAGAGAAGGAAGAGCCTTTGAGTGATGAGGTAAAATGTATCGCCTTCTTTGCTGGAAGCTTCGGCTGAATTTGCAATGTCTCTTATCAAAACCCTCTCTTCCTCTGGCGTCAGCTCCCCACTGCCACTGCTGCTGCACATCGTCACCTCCACCATCACTCTCTCTTTGGCCGATCTAGTTGATTGTAGAAGTTTGTAGATTTGAAATTTGAAATTTTCTTTTGTTTCTCAGGATTTTCTCGGACCGTCGGACGCCAAACGGAGTGTGGAAGGAAAGAAAGAAAACAATAGATATTAGGAAAATAAAAAATAATTATGACGTCAAGGTATTGTGAGGAAACAAAAACCGCGGCTTGGTTAAAGCCTTAAACCCTTACTAACAGACAAAATAAACGAAAAAAAAGTGTTATCCTAATATAATTAATAAAATTATGTTCTAAATACAACTGATATTTTAAGAGAAATGTATAAATAAAATTTAATATGAGTATATAATTTATAACGAGGGAACAATATTTTTTTTTCCCAAAAATTAAAAATTATTGTTAGGATTTATTATTAAGTATAGTGATGAGTAGAAATGGTAAAAGAATCCGGCCTTAATGCATAGTTGTAGCGAAAACTCAGCCCAGCTCATATAGCCGGCCCAACATATAAAATTTGTATAAAAAATAATATAAAATTTAACTTAATATATACCCAAAAAATGAGATTAAATAATAACATAACATAAGAGTAACGTTAGAAAAATTGTAGATAGATTTTGTAGGCAAATATTGTATGTGTAACCTCACTCTTACTATATAGGAATGATAAATTGACCTTTATAAAACCACTTAGCATTTGTTGGACTATCAATGAAATACTTGACTCGTTCATATATGTTGTGTGTGACTTTTCCATTAAGTTCGAAAAAGTCAAAAGCCCGCGAGGATATAGTTCGACCCAGAATCAATTCGACTCAGTATTTTTTCGACCTAACGTAAGCTCGTCGAGACACAACTCGACCCAGCATAAGCTAGTCGCGACCAACTCTAGCAATTGTTCGACAAACCAAAGATGAGCTCAAATCTTGGGATATTTCGAAAAAGATTAGATCAACAGCAATGATTGTGCGATCTTAGCGCACAATCATGGGAATCTCGGAGTTGCAATTTGAATGTGGTTGTAATCCCAAAAATTCCTCTCTTTCCTTCATTACAAACTTGTATAAATGCCCCTTCCAATTATGAGAAAGGGGTTAGCAATTTTTACTTTACAATTGATGTACATTGCAAGCTCTCACAGCAATAAAAGAACAGTGGACGTAGGCTCAAGTTGTAACTTGTCGAACCACTTTAAAAACTCTTTTGTGTCTTTCACATTATAACGCATTTTTATTCATTACATTGCTGATTTTCATTAAATCAAGCACACATCAGTTCCGATTCCGTCAAGGTCAATCGGATCACTCTGGTTGGTACGAATTTTCCTACCAACATTTTGGCAATAAAAGGAGGCCTCTACCTACTTGCCATATTTTTGGCAAGAAACAAGCAATTTCAGTGAGCAACCAATCACCTGAAATTTCCAATGGCATGTACCAGATCAAAAACAACCGCCAGAAACCATGACAATGTGGAAGCCGCCCACCAGGAAGTGCTCCAAGTCAACCACCGGTACCACCAATGCAACAAGTCGCAAATCAGTAGGGGGCAGGGGCTTTTAATCCCGAGAATGGCCAGCTGATCGAGATGATAAGGACGATGGTTGCATAAGTAGTATAACAAAACGTGGCTGAGTTAAGAAACAAGCAGCCGGCCAACCAAGACCTCGATCAGCCACGCTTCACAAAGGTTACTCCAATAGGTCGGAATAACTTTGCTGGCGACCAATCTGGTTCGTCGACACTAAGGAGCGACTATCACCCCTAACATCACAAGGTGGCTTCCGCTCACGAGTGTGAGTGTCGCGGGCAAGTTAACCTTAGAAGGTGACCAAGCAAGCAGTCCATAGGGAAAAATGAAGACAATGGTTGTCAAAGGGATGCTCGCCCTAACTGACAAAATGTCCAATGCCAGCGTGACAGTTTTAACCCACGCCAAAGGCAAGCTCAAACCTCACAAGCTCGTGAGACTAGCCATGCACGCCAATTTGGCAACAACTAACCTTTTGATTTTAACCAACGTCGTGAGCAACGTATCGAGGAGCATTATAGCATCTACCATCCTAGCCATCATGACTCCACCTCGCACACTAGCGCGTATAATAGAGTAGTCTCGTAAGCAACTGATCTTCGAACTCATTTGCTCGAGGTCAGGCTATGCAAAGCTCACAACCAGAATACTCCTCACAATAAGGACTTAGATCGAGTATAGAGAATGTTCAACGATCTGAGAGTCCGCCAGTATAATTTGGGTGGAAGAAATAGTAAGCTCTCTGTTCACGAAGAAAGTCCATCAGACACCACTCCCTTAGGGATTTAGGGTGCTCGAGAACAAGTTCGATGAGAAAGGAGATCCCAGAGGCCACCTTAATTCCTTCAACGACCTGATGGAACTACATCAGGTCTTCGACTTGGCAAAGTATCGTTGTTTTGAGGTCACTTTGGTAGGAGATGCCAAGGGGTGGTATAAACGGCTCAAAGCAAATCAATACAATCTTGGAAACAACTCTCCTTGCTATATTTGTAGCAATTCCAAGCAAACAGACAGTTCCTAATGCCACTCAGCTATCTAAGTAACATTCGTAAAGAAAGAGACGAAACTCTGACTTTATATTTAATGACGTTCCAGAACGAGCAGTCAAAGGCAGCGGATGCACTTGAGGAGTCAATCTGAACTTTGCTTATAGTAGGTATAAGGCCAAAGACAAAACTATGGAAAGAGCTCCAAAGCGAAAATCATGTGAGCCTAGCTAAGTTCTACCAAATGGTCACCAAACATCAACAAGTTGAAAGCTCGCTGGCAGTTTTAGCCGATAGCTTACAAGAAGAGCCCTTGAAAGGCGACAAGATTGCCTAGTAGACAAAAGAATGGGCCAAGATCGAAATGATAAGGACCAAAATAGGTTTCTGAAAAGACAGAGAATAGAGTTCTACGGGGAAAGACAACCTTTCCTGCAGTATGCAAAATACACCCCTCTAATAAAAGATATGGCACACATCTACGAAGTCTCTCGCGAGGCTAAAAAATTATCCATGCTGGAGAGAATGAGAGGGCATCGGGCAGAAGAGATCGCCAAAAGTACTGTAATACCACCGAGATATTGGGCACAACACTAATGAGTGTTGGGCTGAAGAGATAGTCACCGATTTCGCACACTGCAGTATGCATTTGCACACCCATTTTTGCACACTACAGTGTGAAAATGCACATTGCAATGTGTGATTTTGCACACAACAGTGTGTGATTTAGCACATTGCAATGTGCATTTGTACACCCATTTTTGTACACAGTAGTGTGCAAAAGCAAAGTGTGAAAATGCACACTGCAGTCCGTTTTTGCACACTGCATACAACCAATCAAACCAACCATTTTTGCACACTTCAATTCTCAAACACAACCAATCTCACACCAAACAATCACCTTTTCAATATCAAGTTTCAAACCCACTTCTTTAATATCAAACAATCTTCATGACTATCTCAAACAATCTCATAGCAAACAAAGAACAATAACAATAACAAGTTAACAACATGAAATACACAAACCTTGTGGGAGCTGCTGAAGATCGAAGATCAAAGAAGAAGAAGCTATCAAAGCCAAAGTTGGAAGATCAGAGATTCAAAAGTCGTCTAAGGCTTGAAGATTGAAGATTGGATGAAGATTTTGATGAATGAAATCAGAATCAAAGAACCCTAAGATTGAAGATGCTGATTTCGTTGTTTGGTAATGGTTTTTTTTATTTTTCTTTTCTACTGGTGTTGGGTTTTGTCGAATGAAATGAAGGAATGGAGAAAAGCTAAAAAGTGAAAAAGTTTTAATTTTATTATTTTAATTATTTAATTCATTTCCTTTTTACTGTAGCCTGGGTTATATTGGTTGGATCGGTGGTTCGTCACAAAAAAATCGGTCCAACTACAGTCTGAAGCAGGTCAATTACTGATTACGGTTTTTTACATGAACCGACCCGGTCTAGCCACCGGTTCAACCGGTTGGGCCTGACCGAGTTTTAAAACCATGGTGTCGGCTTCTAAAAGAAGCCATTGAAGACCTGATTAGAAAAGATCACTTGAAAGAATTCATGAAAGAGAATCAAGCTCATGACAAGCCGAGCGAGCAGAACAAGCAAACCCAACAAGTCCAGAAGGACAACAATGATGTACTGGTGCGTATGATTTATAGGGACCTAACATAGCAAGAAATTCTAGGCAATCTCGCTAGC